GTGGGGTCAAAGGGTGATGATCCCTCTAACAGGTTTTGTGGGGTCTCCTCTTGGTTGGATTTGCTCCTAAAACTCCTAAGAAGGCATTTTAATAACATGCCTGAACACCTTGGCACATTTCCTGGTCTGAACTTATCGCCGCCCTCAGCCTGTTGGTCAGAGGTTTGTGGGAAGGTACGTCCATCTACACCATTCTTCCAGACGTAAAGAGTCAAACAGACGAAAACTCCTGGATTTAAAGAGCACAAACATCTAATAATCTTCTTATAAGGGASATTAAAAGAGAACTCTGATCCAAACTCACTTCCTGTCCTTTAATTATGTTGGCTCTTGTGAAGTGATAAGACAGATGAGCGGAGCGACAGTATCTTGGCAGCGTGTCTGCCAGGCGTGTCCTGTCAGAATCTGTCAGCAGAAGCAGCTTCTACACCCTGAAGCTGCTCCGACAGTTCAGACCCAGCGATCCATCAGGGAGGGCGAGCTGGGAACGATAGCAGCTTCCTGATCTCCTCCCTCAGTGTTTGGCCCGAGCACGAATCTGTGGGACGTTTCCATAAAGATAAGTTCTGTAAACGTCACGATGGGTTTTGAGAGGTGTCAACATGCAGTCGAAGGGAAAAGGAAGTCAGGGCGTAATCAGAATGGTCCTAAAAGGGTTCAAAAATCCTTAAAAGCAAACTTCAAGTGGACAAAACCCACTGATCCACCTAATAAAACCAATTAAACTCTTTGGTCCATGGAGTAGGTTTTCTCTCCACTTTGGTCTTTTGAGTCTAATGGACATTGTCCCAGAAGCTCCGTGGTTCCTTCAGATGAAGTTTTACTTCATCTATGTTGGTTTTAGAGAGAGAAGGTCCTGCAACCCTTCTGAATAGTGCTTTCTGATTGTCCTGTCATGACCTTTAACCTTCTACGTTTGGGGAKTCTGAGCATTGCACAGTCTGACCTTTGGGTTGTTGTATCTCCAACACGTGTATGGCTCCATAGTCCATGAAGCCATACCCTAGGCTTACCGTGAACCCCCTCCCCCCCATTTTCATGTACCCTAGGGTCCACTCTTTCAAAAAATGTATGTTAACAGAAAAAAAGTTGGGTCTCACTGCCCCCCAGGGACCACTTTGTGACCACACCCCTTTTCTATTGTGACCATCAAAATTAAGGGTACAGAAAACTTAACTGCCGATAACTTTGCTATAAACCAACCAAATTTTACAAACAGGGTATCAACAGATTCGTATTGATTAGTTCTTTGATTTACAAGACATTTCATGAAGCAGATATGTGCTTGATGATGTCATCAGGGGGTCAAAATGTCACAACCCCAACAGAAGATCTGAGTTTACCACACAGATCCTAAATATCCATCTTACTTAGCCGTTTCATGAGGATCCACTTACTCAGAAAAAACCTGTTAAAAAAAACTAAAGTTGGTAAGTACTCCACAGGGACCAGTTTTTGACAACACCTCTACTCATTGTGTGCACAGTTCAGTATTTCCAGGATGTCAAACTTGCATGTAGATTCACTGTCTGAATAAAATGTCATAAATCTGGTGTTAAATGATATTGACTTGGTCTCTCATTTAGATGTGTTTTTGTTGATTATTTATGCAGTGAGGTTTTTAAGTGCTGATATGTAAAACCCCAGATTCAAAGATTTTTTTTCCCATAGCTCTCATCCTGTATCTTCATCTTAGACTCGTTCGTATGTGGGTCAAAATGAGTTGGTTTTTGTTTTCAGATGTAAACCTCTTTGATTTCAGTTGCTGTAAACACATTCCAGAAGCCCCTCGTGTCTCTGGGTATTAAAGCATGGGAGTGATTTCACACTCCAGTGGCTAGCGGGGTGTTTGAAACTGGGAAAATTCCCTCCTCAGACCCATTTGCAGTCATATCAGCTGGTTTATCGAGGGGCGTGTAAAACCACAAGCAGTCTTGATGTAATCTGTTGATGTCTCGTCCACTCCGGGTCTACARATTTTACGAGAGACGTCCTGTTTGGTCTGTTACGGACCCGTCCCGCCGAGATGTGGTCTCACACCCATATTCCTAGGATCCCGCTCTTGATTGTAATGGTTCTGTTCAGGATGGCACCAGGCTTCGAGGTCTTTCAAAATGAGCTTTTAGTATTAGCTTCAACCTAAAACAAGACCCAAACTAAACAGGAAATAAAAATAATTTATCTAATTTTCCAAATGTCTCACTAATAACAAATTTTTGCTTTAAATATGAAAGCATTTTTGGAACAATAACGTTGACTTTTTG